GTCAATTCAAAGCTACTATGAATAAAGCCCAAAAATTCCATTCATGGTTCACGAAATATCTAGAAGACTATGAGTCTCCTTTCCTTCAGGACAGCGAGCAGCGTGCTGCTTTTGAAGCCATTACGAGTTGCGCGGCTCACGTTCGATCGTCCGGGAATGCAGAGCGAGGCACTCATGAAAGCAAACTTCTACTAGAAATCCTTCAGGACGGAGTGCACAGAGCTCAGCTACTAAACGAACCCTCCCGCAAATTAGCATTGGAAATGTTATGTAGTCACTTCACAATTCCCACTTCTCACAGTGTTGATGTAATCAGCTCCGACGAAGAAGCATTGACCTGGGCTCCTGTCGTGTGGAAAAGTTGTCAGGCACAAGGGCTAAGCAACGAGTATCTTGCTTGGGCAGGCCGAGTTGTGGGCAGGGGGTTCGCTGCGTCCGGCCTTGTCGATCAGGACCTGCTCCGAGAGTCCGAGTTGTCACGATACTTCAATGCATCGGTAGACGCATCTGGATCCGAACATGGCCTTCTTAGCCTCTTACAAACTTTAACGTCTGATAGTGACTGCTATAAGGCAGGTCTCGCAGAATCAGCCTTGCGAACAATCGTATCAGAAGCTGCGGCTCAAGGCGACAACAACTTGCTTATAGCTTGTCAGAAAGTCTTGTCTGATCAACTCCTCGCAACGTCGGATTGGACGCCATATCGAACTCCACCATCTGACAACATGCCTATCGGCCTTGTTCGGGAAGATTTAGTCCTCTCTAGCAAAGCATTTGAAGATACAAAGTGGGCTCAGGGTGTTGCGGTATATCTCGCACAATCATACCCGGAGAACATTATTCTCAATGCTCTACCCCCAATTCTTACTAATGTAAAGGGCTTCTCTAAGCAAGCCTTTCCATATATTATCCACCTAGTCCTCCTATTTGAACAGGAAAAGCAGCAGTCCATTAAACGCAGCTTGTCAAGCGCACTTAAGAATTGGCTCAAGTTAGAGTCACCGGCAGCCAAAGAAAATATGAGCCTTTTTATAAACGCTCTTCTATATCTAAGGACCCAGCAGTTACCAGGGGAGAATTCTATAGCTGATAGAGGCCAATGGCTTGATCTTGATCTTCTTTCTGTTGCCTCAGCTGCTGCAAAATGTGGCATGTTCAAAACAGCGTTATTGTTTGTCGAGATGACATCGACCGAGGGGTCACGAGCTTCTCGTCGTTCATCTGCTGTCCGGGCTCAGGACTCCACGGACATCCTAATGAACATATTCGAGAACATCGATGATCCAGACGCATATTACGGCCTTAGCCATACTTCAAGTCTGAGTAATGTACTAGCACGACTCGAATACGAAAAAAATGGCAGTATGAGCTTGGCATTCCGCGGTGCACAGTATGATAGCCACATCCGGAGAGGAGATCCCGCCGCCAATATCGACGGCCGATCCCTAGTAGGGACACTGGGTAACCTTGGGTTGTCAGGGTTATCACATTCTCTCCTTCAAACGGAGCAGAGCCTGGATGGCTCATCTACTACTGTAGAGAGCACATTTAATACAGCTAGGCGACTGGAAATCTGGAATTTACCAGCGCCAACGTCTACCGATAACCCCTCTGTTACTTTGTATAGGGCCTATCAGACTTGGCAACAGGCTACCGAGCTGGGTCCCGCGAGGAACGTTACTCACAATAGTTTCAGCGAAACAATGCAAAGTGTGGTTAAAAAGGACCTCACGCCTGTTCGTCTACGGCATTATCTGAGTACATTAGCTGTTCTAGTAGAGCTTAATGATGTGATTGAGATTGCGGAGTCGACTGAGTTGGATAGAGTCTTATCGACGTTTACAGATCGCTCTGAGTGGATGAAAAGCGGACGGTAGGTGACACTCCACGTTTTACTATGTACAGTTATTGACAAAATTACAGATATGAAGATGTCAGCCAGATTTTATCCTGCCGGGAGACAACATTGAGTGTGTTAGCTCAAACGTCTCAGCGCCGCGGTATGGCAAAGATAAATGAACCAGAAGCCACATTAGCACAGATCAAATCGATGCTATTATCGTCCGGCATTTATAGACATCATCGAGCTACCCAGGAGTCATTGAATATCGCAACATCCCTTACGGACTTGGTGACACCTAGTGCAAAACTCGGGTTACATCTTGATTCCGTAGCAAAATTTGAAGCAGCTGACGCCTTATGGGATCATGGTGAGATGACATCTTCTATCCATATGCTTCAAAGCATCGATGAGGACCCAAATCTCAAGAAGCAAACTATTCCTATCAGCCGGCCAGATTTGCTTGCCAAAACCGGATATCAAATCTCTGTGGCAAAGCTAGAAAAGCCGGAGACCATTCAAAGAGAATATCTACAGCCCGCCTTAAAGGAACTTAAAGGTAAGACTGACAGCCGAGAAGCCGGCAAGGTCTATCATCAGTTTGCCATGTTCTGCGACGAACAGCTGCAGAATCCAGATGGGCTTGAAGACTTGGCTCGCCTGCAACATCTAAAGAAAGGAAAAAGCGATGAGGTATCGCAACTCAAGAGTCTCATTTCCAGCACGAGAGACTCACAAATGAAGTCAAGGTACAATAGCCATCTTACTAAAGCAAGGCAATGGCTCGACTTGGACGAGCAGGAATTACGCCGTGTGGAGCAAAGCCGAACAGAATTCATTAGGTTAAGTTTAGAAAACTACCTGCTCTCTCTTGTGTCTTGCGACGATCATAATAACGACGCTTTGAGATTCACAGCCTTATGGCTCGAGCGGTCAACCGAAGAATTCACCAACCAGGCCGTCATGAAACATATCGACAAAGTTGCAACCCGGAAATTCGCGACGCTGATGAATCAACTTACTTCGCGCCTGATTGACCAGAAGAGCACATTTCAAAGCCTACTTTCTGAGCTCATATATCGTATCTGTGTGGACCACCCTTACCACGGGATGTATCAAATATGGTCGGGAGTGAAGTCCCGCACAAATACAAAAGACGACGTAGCTATATTACGCCAGAAAGCTACAGACAGGGTTGGCAAGAGACTCGCCCAAACCGAGTCAGTGTCAACTATATGGGCCGCCATTGACAAAACGAGCAAAGCATATCACATGCTGGCGGTGGAACGGGATCCTTCGCGCTATAAGGCAGGGCAAAAGGTCCCCGTCAAGGACTCTACCGGCGGTTCTGGCCTTGCTTCTGCTTTGGCGAAATGGAAAATACCACCTCCTACGATGCAAATAGAACTCTCGGCTACCCGAGACTATAGTCATATCCCGTATATTTCCAAGATCGAACCGAACATGTCCATCGCTTCCGGTGTCAGCGCGCCAAAGATCATTACGGTGGTGGGTACTAACGGAGAACGTTTTAAGCAGCTTGTAAAAGGCGGCAACGATGATCTTCGCCAGGACGCTATCATGGAACAGGTGTTCGCCGCCGTATCGTCTGTCTTGAAACACCATCGATCTACCCAGCAGCGTAGCCTCGGAATCAGAACATACAAGGTCTTGCCGCTAACAGCTGCTTCCGGACTTATCGAGTTCGTCTCAAACACCATACCACTCCACGAATACCTCATGCCAGCTCATGAGCGGTACCATCCGAAAGACCTCAAAGGCTCGCAGTGCCGCAAGGAAATTTCCCAAGTCCAGAACAAATCAGCAGACGCGCGTGTAGCTACGTATAAGAAGGTCACCGATCGATTCCAACCTGTGATGCGCTACTTCTTCATGGAGCACTTCGTCGATCCGGACGAATGGTTCGCCAAACGCACGGCGTATACCCGGACCACAGCAGCAATTTCCATCCTGGGCCACATCCTTGGTCTTGGCGATCGCCACGGCCACAACATCCTCCTCGACTCCAAAACCGGCGAGGTGGTGCACATAGACCTAGGCGTAGCTTTCGAAATGGGTCGCGTACTTCCCGTCCCGGAACTCGTGCCGTTCCGGTTAACGCGCGACATCGTCGACGGCATGGGCATCACGAAGACGGAAGGCGTGTTCCGGCGGTGCTGCGAGTTCACGCTGGACGCGCTGCGCGAGGAGACCTACTCCATCATGACGATCCTCGACGTGCTGCGCTACGACCCCCTGTACTCGTGGTCCATCAGCCCGGTCCGCATGGCCAAGCTGCAGGACACGCGGCGCGACGACGAAGTGGTCGACGGCGCCGACGCCGACATCGACCCCAACAAGAAGAAAAAGGCGGCCGGCACCGGCACCGTCGGCGTCGTCAACGAGCCTAGCGAGGCGGATCGCGCGCTCGAGGTCGTGCGCAAGAAGCTGAGCAAGACGCTGAGCGTGACGGCTACCGTCAACGATTTGATCAACCAAGCTACCGACGAGCGGAACTTGGCGTTTTTGTATTCTGGTAAGTCTAAATTCTCGTGGGGGGGGGGGGGGGGGGGCCCCCGGCGGGGGGGGGGGGGGGGGGGGGGGGGGGGGGAGGGGGGGGGGTGGGGGGGGGGGGGGAGACAAACAACCGACACGCG